CAAATTTTTTTTTTTTCATTTCTTTTCTTTTATTTCTTTTTTCCACCCACGTCTCTTATTATCATTTAGCGTTTATCGATAAGATTATGATCGTTACCATTAATCGTTACAATTACGATAATAACACTAGTGTTAGTTACTCCCGCACTTGCCTCGTCCACCCATCTACCCCAACCACGCGGCCACCTACCCCCACCCAGGAACCCTAACGCCATGTTCAAATACCGAATTACAGTTAATTTCGACGCACGTTAAAGCTGTCTATTATTTTTCTTTCCTTCTTCATCCTTGTTTAGTGTATCTCCTCTCTCTCTCTCTCTCTCTCTCTCTACTTCTATAGATCGATGGTAATTTTTCTTCACCGATCAGAATTCGATTTTCCGGCAATACGCATGCTACTTTTTCATTCGTTATTATGCTACTAAAATTCTTGCCTTTCCCTTTGTTTTCTAACCTTACATGACCCATCTCTTGTTCTCTCTGATCCATTCTTTCTCTCTCTCTCTCTCTCTCTCGCACTCCATTCGTCTCATACTCGATATTCCTCATATTAAGAGTTCTTTTGTCCTTGTGAAAAATAGTGTTTCCGTTTTGGTTATTAACGTCTTTTTGGTTCTCCTACTAACAACGTTTTCTCTAACTCGTGGTCGGTTTATTGTTTTTTTACGTTTACTCTGTTAGTATGAGTCACGATTTGTTCCTCGTCTATCATTTACACCTGTTTTAACTCGCTTTTGTTTCACTTGTTTTGGTTTTCATTAGAAGTTACAAACTGTGAACTGCTGCATCGCCGATGATCGTGAGCAACGATCTTTCGATTTGCAATTTAGTAACTTATCTTTTCAAATGCAAGTTCAATATTTGTATTCCTTTTCTATTTAAGGTTAACTTCAGTGACAGTCTGGTTATTTCATCAAATAGGTTAAAAATTGCAAATAGAGAAATCTTAGGTTACTATAATTCAATAAATACCAGATGAGAATGTATGCATACCGCAAAACAGTATCATTCGGTTTGTTGCAAAATATCGACTTGCACTTTGTAGCGTAAAGAAACGTCAAAAGGCGAGAAATATGTTGTTGTGCAAAAATCGAAAGATTTCACGGTGTCTTCTTGAAAATCCCTGAATTTCACGTTAATAAATAAGTCGAAAATAAGACCAATTTAAAAAGAAAAAAAAACAAATTTTGAAACGCAGATGAGCAATGAAAAGTAGAAAAATTCTGACATGTGATTATTGAAAAAACAAAAGTGTTGTTTCAATTATTGAAAAAATCAATAAATAAAAATGTATTCTTGGAAATGGCTCTCGATAATACGTTTATCTACTTTCTCGAAATCCAGAAACACCCTCAAGAAACCTAAGGAAATTTAAGTAGTAGCGCGGACCATTGTTGGTAAGCCTGACCGGGGAAAAACCGACAGTAATAAACAATTTCAAGGCGATCGCTGCTATACACAGTTTAATTCATTGCATTTATCCTAGGAGATTATAATAATAACTAAATTACAATTTCTAGACTCGAAATTGCACGTTCGTTTCGTGTTACAATTACTTCGATCTCGATCGATGTACAATTTGTTATTAACTCTTTTTGTCACTGGTTACTTAATCGTTCAACGCTTTCATAATTTTTAATTACTCGTTTGGACAAATCGAATCATTGATCGGTTTGAAAATTAAACAAAAGTTAAATACTTGATCTTATGATTGAACATTGGTAGACTGTAAATACAAAACTTCGTTTTCTCTGTTAGTTTATTATCGATTACAGACATCGAATTGAACTGAAACTAATTGTAAGAGTAACAAAAATTCTCGTTGAAAGAAAATCAAAGCAATCGCTTCCCCGATCGTTTACACATTTTGTACGAGCTAGTACGTTCTCTATTTGACTAGAAATTCTATATACGTACTTATTTATACATAATTACGGCTACTACATATAGGAATACTTAATTAATTATAATCAATACCCCTAAAATTTATATATTAACTTTTACAGTAATATGGCAACGGCGGTGACAGTAATACTATTTTTTTTTTTTGTTTTATCCCCTAGATCCAACTAACGATATAAAAATAATTCGCAAATTCGGTGTATAAAAACAAAAGAGAAAGAAATCAGAAGAACTCAAAATCGAAACGAAGAAAAATTTTTTTCTTCTTTTTTTCATTTTTCTTTATATACTCGTGTGTACATATATATACACACGCAATCGAAAGAAAAATAGTAAAAATCTTTTTTGGCCTTCTTTAAGAGCAAATTCTATCTTTTGTACATAATTCGGATTAATCGGTAATTTCGAGAATATTTTTTCTTTCTTCCTTCTCCATTTTTTTACATTTGTAATTATTGTGCTACTCGATTCTTTGGTTCTTTTTGGTCAAACACTCTTCTCGGTACTTCAATTTATATTACAATTAAGTAGCGTCGAATTGCAATTGCAATTATTTAAGATAAATGAAGAAATTCTAATTTCGAGTAAATCATAATAAATACTCATAGTATATTTTTGAACATAGAATATCCTTTTTTTTTTTAGAATCATATTTTGTAACGTAGAACATTGAATAAAAAAAATCTTTGGTAAAATTTTCTGGATAAATTACAATAATTTCGCCAGGATTCCTAAAGTTTTTTAATCGCAATTGCAATTTCGGAAAAGAGAGCGAATCTTTTTTTTTTAAATCCTCTGAATACAAAGATCAGACGGCAAAGAATGTCAGCGGCTGCAGTGTGCGTTAATTAAATAGAAATAAGAAGAACAAACAGGAAACGAAGAATTGCGTTCGATTGTACGTGGAATGTTTCGATCGAAGCTGTTCGACTGTACCGATGTTCGTTTTAGAGCCAGTAAGGATACTCTCGAGAAGCGTGAAAACTCGGCTAAAGTTAACTGAAAACACGATACCTCTTCGTACAAAATCAATATGTCATCAATAATGTAAAATTGCTTTACGTATATATCCTAACCAAGAAATGTGAACATAATGCGGAAAAAGGTAACTAAATCGTTCGAAGAATTCGGAAATTCAAGGATCCTAGATCATTTAATGGAACCTCTTTCATTTTTCACGATGTAAACACTTTAACGTATGCTCCATATACCTGTGTAGTTCGTGTATGTGTGTGTAGTTGCGTGTAGTTGTGCGATCGTGTGCGTAGAATCGCGTGAACTGCGTGACGATGAAATGAAACTAAATCTTCCATTTGATTGACCGAAAAAATAATCGAGAAATCACTTACTCGGACATGAAACTCGGACATTACTCGGTTCTGTCCTTAAGATTTTGTCTCTAGTCTGAATCTTGTTCGGTTAAAGAGCTTTTTGACATTTCAGACATCGAATTTAAGTTAGCTTTGTACAAAGTGGGACGTTTACGCTTTTTTGCGTATAATTTTATAGTTTTTTAGTTGGTCTGATATTCTTTCGAGTTTTTATAGTTTCACATTCAGCCTCTTCTTTCGATCTACGCCATTCTGAAATTTTGTATACAATTTTTGCGCGTCTTCGCACTGAATGTTACTGAACTTAACTGAATGTTATGATATTAATATTAAAAATTTTCGACAAACATGAATTATCGATTTTAACAAAAAAATATAGCTAAAATATAACTTTCTCGTCAATTTTTTGTGCGCAACTTGTGCGATCGGCGATAAACATAATGTACTTATTCAAATAAAGCTAAAATATTGAACAACAATGTTACAATATACGTTGAAAAGGAAAATTGTATATTATATCGTAAATCGTTTCGTACAATCTTCTCAGGTAGAAAAATATTAATGCAGAATAAAAAATTTACTGCCTGAAGAAATTTGGAAAACATTTTTTTCTTCCCCCCCAAAAAATTAGGCATAAATTATTGTTCAATAATATGTTAAAAAGTTATGAAATAAATTCAATAACTATTGAAAGTACAAAATTTATTTGCATCAAATTTAAAAATTATTTGATGTGTAAAAAAAAAAGACTTTAATTTAATCTTC